GCAGACCTCCGTCCATCGCTACCCCTTACATCCTAGAGGCTTGCAAGAAAGAGTTACGTTGCTTTGAAGTATCTCGCATTGATGCGGTCTTCCGCGAGCAGAACAAAACAGCAGACTATCTTGCTGCCCTTGCAAGACACACCTCCAATGGTATTCAGCTATTTCCTCACCCATCGGATGAGGCTCTCAATTTTCTAGAGGATGATTTGGCTAGTATTCCGTCATGGCGTTTTGTAAATATGGATCCTGAATTTTTTCTGTTAAACTCTCGGGTATTCCCCTTCCATGTGAATTAAAAAAAAAAAAAAAAAGGCTACCGAATTGCACATGATAATGCAATTCGACCACTAAACCTAAAAAAACTACAATTGGATCTCTAAACTAACCAATTTCATTCAATTTGTCCAATTTATAAGTTTTTCCACATTTTAACAAGTTACTCATCCACCTAAGATGCATATGTGGCATTTTTAAAAAAAATAATTTATTTTTAAATTAATTTTTTAATGTTTAATAAATAAAAACAAAAATAATTTGTCGGGAGAAGATGCGACACTGGTGAAGCTGGTGGAGTAGCACAGGCTGCGAAACTGGTCGCTAATTAGCACCGGTATACCAAGGCGGTCGGGGAAGTCGTGCCGGTTGCGGTTGTGCAACCTGCTAAGACCTGTCGTGCAGCACTGCCCGTTCTCACCGGATGAGAACACCATTATTCTCAGCGCGTATGCTGTGCACGACAACAAATGGCTGACGATCGCGCGCCTTTTGCCCAAGAGGACGGACAATGCGATAAAAAACCATTGGAACTCCACTCTCTGGCGGCGGAAGCGGAGTTCGAAGGAGGCGGCGCGGCGATGGATAAACGAGCTTGGTTGGATGAATCCTCGTCCGAGTCTAAATTGGAGGAGCAGAGTAAAATCGGCGGTGAATGTGGCGGTACGGAGGATGTGCTACGACTAGACGGGCTGGGGACTTCGCTGCCATTGTTCCCGCCGGGAGGAAAATCAGTGGTGGATCCACCTATCGGAGAAAACTCAGCGTATTAATGGGGTCTGCTATAATAGGAAACAAATTAACAAATTATATTTGTTTTTATTTATAAGCATTAAAAAAATCAATTTAAAAATAAATTATTTTTTTTAAAAAAAATACCACATATGCATCATAGATGTAGGGGTAACCTGTTAAAAACTGGGAAAACTTGTAAATTGGATGAATTGCATAAATTCGGTTAGTTTAGGGATTCAATTGTAGTTTTTTTAGATTCAGTAGCATAATTGCATTATCGTGTGCAGTTCGATGACCTATTTGACCTTTATTCCTAGTATTATTAAAAAACAAAATTCTCCTTCCGTGTATTCCCGCCCAAACAATAGAAAAGAAATAATAATAAGTAATACTTATTAAGTAATTTCCGTTTACTTTTCTATAATAATCATTAGTACTTATTATGAAATGATAATAATCTGTCAATTATGGAATAATAATACTTATTAAGGAATAATAATAATCATTCAATAAAAAATGAATAATAATCAGTAATATTTTTCTTTTTCATTTTCAGTCAATTAGGGATCCTCCTCCGTTTCCTTTTTTTTTTTTAATTATTATAATAATCAGTAATACTTATTAAGGAAAAATAATAATCAGTCAATTAGGGAATAATAATACTTATTAAAAACAAAATTTTCCTTTTTAACTTTTCGCCCGAAAACTTAATAATAATAAGGTTAGTAGTAAAAAATTAGTTATTAATAATTTAGATTAAAATTACAGGACATTATTTTACTATTAATCTAATGAATATAAGGAAGATTTTGGATCCTCCATTGATAGGCTGCCGCCTCTGCTCATTTTGCGGAGGCGGCACCGGCCTCCTCTCGTTACTTCCCCTACTCCAACCGTCTCTCAATCGCCTGTCCTTCGGCCTCTCCTCCGTTGCTGGCACCTCTTCCCGCCTCTCTTCCACTGTCACCATCTCCTCCGGCACCTCACCGACATTTCTTCCTCCTTCACCACCGTCCCTCGCCATCTCCAACTCCATATCCAAGCTTCTTTACCTTTTTTCAACGGTTCAATATATATATATATATATATATATATATATATATATATATATATATATATATATATATATATATATATATATATATATATATATATTATACATAGCAATGCTGGGTAAACAGGCATGGACATTTCTAACTAAACCTGACTCTTTGGTCTCAAGGGTTTATAAGGCAAGGTACTACCCAAAAGGAACCTTTTATAATGCTAGTATGGGGAATAATCCCAGCTTCTGCTGACGCAGTATTATGGCTGCACAGGATATGGTTTGTGGTGGTGTCAGGCGCAGAATTGGGAAGGGGGAAACAACTCTTATTTGGGAGCACCCATGGCTCCAAGACCAGCAGGACCCAATGATCCACACAGAAAAGCCCCCTTATTTGAACGATGCAACTGTTATGGGACTCATAGATCAGGAAACACAGACCTGGGATCAGGATATTCTGGCGGATATTTTTGACCCCACTGATGTAGCTCGTATATCCAGAATACCAATATCACCGGACAATGAGGACATGTGGTATTGGCATGAGGATCAGGGAGGTAATTATACTGTGAAAAGTGGCTACAGACACATTGTTGGAAATTATGATAACACTGCAAGTTTTTTGATAAATGGGTGAGTTTATGGAAGCTCAAAATCCCCCAAATGGAAAACATTTTTGTGGAAAGCCTTGAACGATATTCTCCCTACCACAGAAAATTTGATTATAAAGAGAGTGGAAATTCAACCTACATGTGCCGTGTGTGGGATTATGAATGAAGATACAATGCATGCTTTAGTAACATGCGATTATGCTAGTTCCATTTGGGCTCAATCTCACCTTCCAATCCACATGATTACAACAAATATTTTTTATACTTGGTTTAGTGATCTATTAAATGTTTTAGACGCTGACCAGATTATTCACACAGTTGCAATTTTATACTATATTTGGAGAACCAGAAACGGAGCGGTATGGGATGCATACCTACTGCGGCCGCAAAAGGTGGTTGCTTCGGCCGATGCCGTGGTGCATGCATGGCGTCAGGCCCATCCGTGTCGACACAACCTGCATGGACCGACAGCCCCTGGGGCGCACCAGTCTGCCGTTACCACGGCGCCCATACAGCAGCAACCGATCCTTGCCGAAGACAAGCCGGTCTCGCCACATCACCACGAGCCAACACGGAAATGCTACTTCGACGCTGGTTTTATGCCAACCATGGGGAAAGCCACAGTGGGGGCGGTCCTGATCGACGAGGAGGGGAGATATATATTGGCTTTCAGTGCACTCTTACCAGACTGTCTTTCTCCGCTTATGGCCGATGCACTTGCATGCAAAGAAGCCCTGTCTTGGCTATGAGGTCGTGGGGAACGATCGGTACAATTATTCACAGATTGTTTAATGTTAAAGCAGTACCTATAACAATTGTTTGAACACATACATCGTATAAGGTTGATATAAAAATTCCTAATGTTTTTACAAAATTTATTGATTATATTTATTAATCAAATTAACCGAATAAACACTCATAGTTTGGATGGAAGGAAAGAATTCATAGTATTATTAAAAATAAAATTCCTCCTACCGTATATTCCCATCCAAACAATAGAAAATAAATAATAATAAGTAATACTTATTAAGTAATTTCCGTTTCCTTTTCTATAATAATCAGTAATACTTATTAAGTAATTTTCGTTTCCTTTTCTATAATAATCAGTAATACTTATTATAGAATAATAATAATCTAAATCAATTATGGAATAATAATACTTATTAAGAAATAATAATAATAATAATAATAATAATAATAATAATAACAATAATCATTCAATAGAAAATGAATAATAATTAATAATCAATAATATTTTTCTTTTTCATTTTCAATCAATTAGGGATCCTTCTCCGTTTCCTTTTCTATAATAATACATAATACTTATTAAGGAATAATAATAATCAGTCAATTAGGGAATAATAATACTTATTAAAAACAAAATTTTCCTTTTTAACTTCCCGCCCAAAAACTTAATAATAATAAGGTTAGTTGTAAAAAATTGGTTATTGATAGTTTAGATTAAAATTACAGGGCATTATTTTACTATTAATTATAATATTATGAATATAAGGAAGATTTTACGAAAAAATATAAAAGAATATGTCATTAATAATTTAGATTAAAATTACCGCAAAGATTCTTTTCTATCCCTAATACAATTTTACTTAATATATTACAGAATCTCCAAATAATATATTAGAATTGTTTATAATTTCATCTTTAATTTATTATCTAAACTTATTAAAGAATAATAATAATTAGTCAATTAGGAAATAATAATACTTATTAAGGAATAATAATCAGTAAAATATTGTCATTTTCCATTTTCGGTCAATTAAGGATTTCTCTGTTTCCTTTTCTATAATAATCAGTAATACTTATTAAGAAATAATAATAATAATCGGTCAAATAGGGAATAATAATACTTATTACACTACAAGAAAAATCGCGAATCGCGATGGAAAATCACTACGGAAACTATTCCGTCGTGAAATAGCGACGGTTATGGCAACGGAATAGTTTCCATTGCAAATTCGCGACGGAAATTAATTCCGTCGCGATTTTTGGCGCAAATGAAAATTAAACCCGCGAAATCTTGGCGGCAAAATATTCACGATGGAATTTGCGATGGATGTAAATTAAGTCGTCCATTTAGCGACGAAAAATACAACGAAATGATATTCCGTCGCAAAATGACGACGAAAATTGCGACTGAATTTTCATCCGTCGCGAAAGAAGGATTTTTTTTTTAAAAAAATAAATATTGCGACCGAATTAACGACAAAATTAATTCCATTGCAATTGTTTCTTAAAATTTTTGTTTGTTTAAAAAAAAAAAAAGAAGATAATTTAATACTTGTCTTGCATTTTAATTCCGTCACTTTCATTTAGGGTTTTCCTCTTCAGATCTTGTTCTCTCGTCTCCCTTTAGCACTCTCCATCCTCAGCACCAACAGTGCAGCACAGCAGCAAACCTCCATAGCCATGTTCTCCGACTGCGACGCTTGCCACTTCGCCGTGACCTGCAATAAAAGTCACCGCGAACGCCGCCATTGACGGATAGAGTTGCCATTGACGAAGACGCCGACCCCACACGCCACCGCCGACGCCACCGTCTGTAAGTTAATATTTCAAATTTTTATTTATTTATTTCGATTTTTTGGTTATTTATTTTGAATTGTTGTTCTTTATTTTGAATTTTTGGTTATGTGTTTCGAATTTTTGTTGTCATATATATATGTTTTAATATATTATGATTATTTTTGAAGTTTTAGTGTTTCGGGAATCCATCGATTTGCTGTTTGAATGGACTTTTCCATAGCTTTTGTTGAAGAACTTTGATTTTTGTTTTCGATTGGAATGTTTTAGCAGTTAATCTTTGGAGTTATCCGAGCTGAGCCCTTGATTTTTAGAGAATGTATCTTCAGCAGAAATGTGTGATATTGCTTCTTGTTGCAGTGATGTATAACTATCAACCTGATTGTTCTGCATTTCTGTGTGAATCAGACACATGCTTTATTTATTGTGATATTTTTGTTGTATAAAAGATGTGGTATATAAAGTGAACTTGGTTTAGTTCTATTGATTGTGATACTCGGTTGAATTTGCTACTAAGAATCCTAATTTTTCTATTTATTGAAGTCATATAGTGCCCTGTTAATACTTCTGCATGCTAAAACAGGCATGAGAGTAAAATATTAGTTTGGCTTGGCAGGAGAAGATTTTGTTGTATGTACAATTTTGATTTATTTAAGTTTAATTTTTTAAATGCTTATCTTAAATTGCCAGCCCTTCTCTATTGAGGTTTTGTGCGATTTCAGTTATGTGATGCTTTGCTCTTTTGTTTAGACTTTATCTTTTGGTATTGCAGGTTTTGTTAAACTTCAATTCCAAGGGATACTTAGGACATGGAGCAAATTTGCCTTTGGTTAGGTTGGTATCTGTAACAAGTGTTATCATTCCAAAAAGTGCTTGATGAACGGTTTCTCATCCATGTGGATTTTCTTCTTGTTTCCTTTGTCAATTACACTTAATGAGGAGCCTTTCTTTAATGACCAGTTCAGAATGCCAACGAAAAATAGTGTACCTTGTTATGAACTTATGATGTCAGTTGTGAGTATACTGTTAACTCATGCAATTTCAGTGTTACACTTAAGTTTGCATATGACATATAGAGGGTGGTTTGTATCTCCTCAAATAGTGTTTACTTCTTAATAATTATCATTTATTTGGTTGGTACTGAGTTATAATTAGTTTCTATGGACGTCCATGTACTCTACTGATTAAAGATCTTTGGTCATGAATATTGTTTTTATTTATTCAGGATACATGGGCAGCCAAAAACTGTTAAAGTTGCAGCAAACCTTGTCAGGTTATTAGCCAACAATAACAAGGTATGGAATTTTTAGTCACCTTGAACATGCAAAGCATTCACTATTTTTTCTCAAACTTGTTTCTGTGCCTCACCCCTGGTCACAGCACTATGTACCAAACATGTATTGATATATTAAATATATTACTTAAGCTGCCTTGTCTTTTGACAGAAATTTAGTCTCCAGCTATTCAGTTCCAAAGAGTGACTTGTAAGTTCCCTGAATATAGTCAACTACTTGTTGATATTTGTTAGATTGTTGATCATTTCATTTCATTAAGTTTGCAAATTGATGTGATGCATAATCCCATTCATGATTTGTAGTAGTGGAAAATCGTCTCGATGTAAGTTTCACTGCCCACCAATTGTGTGAGAAAACTATTTACTTATTTACAATAGCTTCTCAGGGTTTTACTTTGTCTACAGGACATTCTCTCTTTATAAATTGTGGAGCAGACAGAAAATGGAGAGAAGTAGATGATAATAAATTATACTATGATGCGGTTCGCGGACATGACAAGAAAAGAAGAATTTATGGACTTAGTTCATATTGTGGTTCCGTTGATCTTAATGTGTATTGTTGTTTGTTAAGACTACTATATTGTTGTTTAGATTTGAATTTAACTATTATTATTTATTAAATGTAGATTGATAATGTATTATTAATTGAAATGGATTGATAATGTTTTATAATTATGTTATTTTTTAGAATTAATTGTGTTTTACTATGCCATTGTAGTTTTATATTAAATAATATTTTAAAAGCTCATAAAATTATTTAAAAATATTAATTATAAATAAATATTTAAAAAATAATTAAAAAATGTTACGAAATTGCGACGGAATAGCGACGGAAAAAAGAGTATGGCGACGGAATATGTGTTTCTAAAATAGCGACGAAATTAGCGTCGGAATAATTTTCGTTGCCAAAGTGCGACGGAAAAATTTCCGTTGCAAATTTGCGACGCCTTATTGCGACGGAATTTTTCCGTCGCATACTAAAATACGACAAGCTGATAGTCGACGGAACAGATTCCGTCGCAAAATGTGATTTGCGACGGAATTTTGCTATTTCGCGACGGAAGACGGAATTTTGCTGTTTCGCGACGGAATTTTTCCGTCGCGATTTGCGATTTTTCTTGTAGTGTTAAGAATAATAATCAGTAATATTTTCCTTTTCCATTTTCAGTCAATTAGGAATTTCTCCATTTCTTTTTATATAATAATCAGTCATACTTATTAAGGAATAATAATAATCAGTTAATTAGGGAATCATAATACTTATTAAAAACAAAATTCACTTTTTAAGTTTCCACCCAAACACTTAATAATAATATTTTTTTTGAAAGTACTTAATAATAATATGGTTAATAGTAAAAAATAAAAAAAATGAAAAAGAATCCGTAATTTGAGAAGCCATAATTTTCTAAAATTATTTTAACGCGTTATTTTACTATTAATCTAATGAATATGATGAATATAAGAAAGATCTTGCAAAAGGGTATTTTACTATTAATCTAATGAATATAAAGAAGATTTTGCGAAAAAAATGGAAAAGTATTGGTTTTTAATAATTTGGATTAAAATTATAGCACATATACTTTCTTATCCCTTTACAAAATCTCCGAATAATATATTAGAATTGTTTATAATTTTATCTTTAATTTTATTATCTTTTTTTTTTTTTTTTTTTTTTTTTTTTTGCATGCTACTAGCTCTATTACATTGTAGTATCTGTTCATATACTTTCTCAACCTACTGAGACACAGAGAGCTAATAACGCCTCCACTGAGGCTCGAACTTACAATCTTCCAAATGGAAGTCCAACCCGGATATCATTAGACCACATAATCCTGGTAATAAAAACATATATTTATATTTTATTATCTAAATATATAATAAAAACATTTATCTGTGCATTGCACGGGTAATTAGGCAATGATTTGCTCGAATCCAAACAAATATAATATCACAAAACATAATCAATACAACTCATTTCATCAATTGCACTATATAACATACATTATTATAATTTATATAATTATATATGGATCCAAATATTTTTAAAATATTATTACAAATAAATTTTTTTGATAATATATATATATATATATATATATATATATATATATATATATATATATATATATATTTATACTTACAATTGATAATATTTATATTTATATACTTAAGGTATATTACTATGAGAAAAAAATAAACTATCATTCTTTTCCTTCTGTGTAATTACTATGGTAATTTTATGGTTATCTCTATCTCTCTCTCTCTCTCTCTCTATATATATATATATATATATATATATATATATATATATATATATATATATATAATTAAGTCAATCATATTAACTACTTGGGAAATTTATTGACAAAAAGAGTATTCAAATCACATAACAAATTAAAGTGTGAAACTATCTCGCAACGTCCTTGTTTGGCAATCAGCAATTAGCTCTTCAATATTAGTATATATTTAATATTTTATGCCCTAATTTTTATTTGCCCTCCTTTATGTCCCGTATTTGGTTTCAACCATACCTTTACAATTATTTTATTGACAATTATAATCAATCTTGACTATATTATCTTGCATTTGTATACATATAATTGCCTATTTAAATAAGCAAATTTAACATTCAATTATCTATGCATGAACAATTCCAATAAAATCTTGCCCTGATATACTTTAAAGTACTTATTAAAAAAAAAAAACATTGGACATTATCCCAATCGCGCAATGCGCGTAAAAAACTAGTATTTATAATATGGGGGAGATATTAGTAGGGGGGAGATATTGCGTAGATGTCTGGATGACTCATCAACATCAACTTCAATATGAATTATGTTGCGCCACCTCAAAATCTCCGCCAATTGAATTTCAAAAGGAACTCCACTAATTCTTCCGCCAATGGCATTTTGAAGTCGTCGTGCTGCCTTCCCACTCCACCATCCATGCGCGTGGATCGGTTACTTAATCCTGGTCTCGCCTCCTCCCACGCACATGGAGGAGGTATGTGGAAGGTTGTATTTTACTTCTACGCACACTCCTACGCACGTGGACCTCACCGTGGATCTTTCTGTCTCATTTCCACGCAGGGTCCCACGCACGTGGCTGGTCCCAGCACGGCTCCGGTTTTGCCATTTCTTTGTGATGCTCGTTTCATGCCCATATGCCTCCGTTTCACGCTTAAAACCTTCATCAATCATAAAAATACAAAGTAGAGTGGTGTTTTGCAGCACATTAGCAATTATAAGCATAAACGACCATAAATCGTGCACAAAGGATATCAAATGGATATACTATGCCCTCTTAAAGATCCTAAAAGATGTATGTCTTTGGCACTTATCATAGCGCCTGGATAAAGATTGAGATTACCGCATTGGAGTAAAAGTCGTAGACGTTATTGGCCTCCTTCTTCCACTTGTTCAGGAAATCTCTTAGACTCTCGCCTCTGTCCTACTTTATCACGCAGAGGTGAGAGAAAGGCTTCTGCGTTGTATGTTACCGGAGAAGTACGTTAGGAAACTTTTGGATAGTTCTCCAAAGTTTTGGATCGAACCATCTGGGATTGTATTGAACCAATCTTGGTGTAACACCCCACTTTTCTAAAATCTAATTCCGAAATACTTTAACTTAATCAAGATAAATAAGTAAGATTTAAATAACTTAAAACCAAACAATTCAACAACTACGGGTGTCACCGCCACAGCCACCACTCACGGTGACTGCACAAGCTACAATCAGAATAACTAACTAGAGTCAAGCTCTACAAAAACATCAGTAACTTGGGGAACAAACTCCGGTGTCCACGCACCAACAAAAGGATCAGTCAGCAACATCTAACATCAAATCACTAAGGTAGAAACTAAACTAGTAACTACCAAACAGTCTACGCACTAAACTACCGCGTGCGCTCTCAAACGCTGGGCCCACCTGAAATGGGTTATAAAAACAAGTAAGAAAATAAACACGTTAGCAAATTAATGCTAAGTATAAAACCATTCAACCCTGTAAAATACTATAGATATAGATTTAGAAAACATTTGACAAGCACACATAAACTCAAGTATGAACATACTCATTTACAACACTTAGCCAACAATGTCAATACATACTCATAAACAACTCTATATGCTTGCAACCTATACTTCATATAAACATGTTCTTCTCAAATACTCAACTTAATCACAAATCTCATGCTTTAAACATATATCTCTAAACATAGCTCAATACGCAAACTCATGCTCAAACTGATAGATAAAGAGATACTTAAAACTCAACAACAAGATCATACTATCATGCCAACTCATAAGCGAAAACCAATACTATACTTCTCATCACACTCTAAATGCAAAACATGTTAAGTCATGCAGCAAGATATAACATGATGCTATATGTATAAATATACTCTCGCTCCTATATAAAAAGAACATTTCTGTGGAGGTTTCTGTTGAGTCACTTTGACTCGCTTTTCTCTTCTTTCTTGTTTTCTTTCTTTCTTTCTTTCTTTCTTTCTGTACTCGTGGGCGAGGTAGGAACGAACCTATCCGGGCTCGACATCTAGCCGACCTAATACTCATCTCGCCCACAGAACCACTCTCTTGGTTCTTATCTCAATCTCTGTGGAATCAGGTATCGTACTTGTCAGTGTGCACACCCCCTAATCAGGATTCCAAGCTCGGCGGGTAGTATCCAACCTAGCAACTCAGGAATATCGACCAAGTTACTTCATAAAATCTATCGGTCTTCTGTGACCATTTCTTTCCTTTCTCAAACTTTCTTTCTTTCTCTTTTCTTCCGAAAGGACATAGTCCTAACGGGCCTCCAAAACTCTATTTTTCCTCACAATAGATAGCATATAGATATATCTCATGCAACTTCTTTCTCATGCCATAAACTCTGACATATGCAAGCTTTGCAATGCGCATAAATCTCAACAACTTCTCTTTCTCACATTTTAGAAATCAAATATCATGCAATCTTCTCAATGCAAATAGATAGTGATTTTCCAAAATAGATAGAGGTTTTTGAAATAGAACTTAGGCTTTACTTAGAGCCATTTATGCACTTTAACCTTTAAATATTCTAATATACCCTTTACTGTGAAATGGAAATATACATTGCTTAGCTTTATGCCAAAATCTCAACAATTTAGCAAAACTTCTCAACAAATACTATCAAGTATCTAGACATTCTTTTCAATCAAATATTAATACTCAAATGATACAATCTCATTTACTGATATAAGTTCACAGATAACCAAAAATGCAGAGCATTCATCTTTCACTTCTTTCAATTGCTAAACATGCTCCCTAACTCCAAATCAAACGAAATCAACTTCTACTAGCGCGTTGTAACGATCCCGGGTGTCCGAGCCTCAATGGCCCACAAGTCCTGGTCCGAACAACGCATAGCTGAGCCACAGAGGGTCCGGCCAGAACAAACTTTGGTCTGGTGGAGCTTGGTGACGGGGCTTGTGAAGCCCCGCCACTTGGCTCCGCCAAGTAGCGGCCCTGGGAACGGATCCCTCAGGGATCCGTTCTCTCGGTCCGTGGCTTCACAGGTCTAGCCAGCGGACCCTGCCTAGGTCCGTTGGCTAGATCCGTTGGGTCTTCTAGTGCACCATTAGTGTGCACCAGACCCTTCTTCTTTACCTGAAACAACACAGATGCAACAAA